TGTTTATTTGTATTTTATTAGTATTTTCCATAAATGTGTCAAATATATATTTTCTCATCTAAATGTCCCCTGTGAGCCAGGGGGCGGTAATGTGCCTTAACATTGGTTGCCAACCAAGAAGAAGAAGAAGCTGTGAGCCAGGAGGGAGGGGGTGAGTGAGTGAGTGAGTGATTCGCTTACGCTTACGATTCAGCACAGGAAGGGAGGGTGTTAGCATGTTAGTAGAGCGATGCTACTGTGAACCGAGGAGCTATTTTCTTGATGTGAGCTTCCACTCAGGGTTTTTTCTTTCAGTTCAGAGCAGAAATGCTTTTGTTAAGAAACTGGCTGTTGTTTTTCCCCCCCACAATTTTAATTATAAGCTAGATATATTTCTACTAATGGAATTAGTTTGCTAACAGCAACAGGGATGAGTCAGTGAGTCAGTTGGGCTTGTGAATCATGATTTACGAGTCAGTAAAGTGATTCTCGAGTATTGAACGATTCGTTCACGAATCGAACATCACTAGATTACACTGATGCACACATCAGAGGTAAAAAGAATCAGAATAAAGTGACTTGCTGTGACTGAGCGGAGGCAAATTTAATTTCAAAAGACTACCTGACGGAAGCCTTGATAAAAGCATGGTTTTATGCAAACTGTGCAAAAAGGAGTTTGCGTACCATGAAGCACTTCAACTTTACGGCACCATCTAATTGCAAAACATGTTGCAGCAAGCACGAAACTGTGGGAGCTGTTAGCTCTAGCAGTTCGAGTACCAACAAAAGATATCGGCAGCCCAAATGTGATGAAATGACTGGCTTAAGGACCAAAATTAGCAAGTCATCATTGGACAACAATGCCCATAAATCTCTGCTTTGCATTTTGTCATCCACCAAACCTCTTCCGACTGAATTTGCCTGGTCAGCACTTGAACAAAAATATTAAACTACAACCATGATAGGTACGAGATGTAAAATACAAGTAAGTATTTGATCTTAAAATAAGTGGCCTGCTGATAATACTAGATGAAAACTTGGATGGTAAAAATAGTAAATGGCCTGTATTTATATAGCGCTTTACTAGTCCCTAAGGACCCCAAAGTGCTTTACACATCCAGTCATCCACCAATCCACACACACATTGGTGATGACAAGCTACATTGTAGCCCACAGCCACCCTGGGGCACACTGACAGAGGCGAGGCTGCCGGACACTGGCGCCACCGGACCACCACCAGTAGGCAACGGGTCAAGTGTCTTGCCCAAGGACACGATGATCGAGACTGTCGGAGCCAGGGCTCGAACCAGCAACCTTCTGATTACAAGGCGAACTCCCAACTCTTGAGCCAAGATCGCCCGTAATATGTTCAAAGATCATGTTTAAAAAGACATCCCCATTTCTGAGCAAACATTCATGAACATGTGTTTACCTTTGAAATTCGTAGAGAGCTATGCCACCATTGTGGCTAAAAAAAATAATGTCACAGTTACAACATGATCCTCCTGCTCACTATGCTATGTACTGTACTTGTGTGCATCCTCAGTTTCACTTACCAAGGATAAAATTTTGGAAGTCTGTTGTGTTCACTACAACATCTGTAGTTTCATTGGTTATGTCACCAAACACAACATGTAGTTTAACCCCACTTTCCACTGTCATGGTTATGTCATCCAAGTCACTGGTGAGGGACCTGAAGATTGCTTAGAGGAAGAACACCACACATTAGCTATTGTTTGATATTTAATCTGATAACTGAGGGTACTAATGAAGATGGTAAAATATGGCACAGGCTGAATGCTTTTTATCTGCTCACTATGCATTAATGTCACATAATAAAGACAGTCTGAGTAGTGCTAGTTTACCTTGGCCTCCCTGGTTCATATTTAAGCTGAGCTGTCTGTAGACATCGTGGTAGCACTGTAGATAAAAACACAGAATAACACGATAAAGAATTGATGCCTGCATGTTACATATCAGATACAGGCCATCAAGTAAGGGTTACCTCCTCAGAATCAGGGTAACCAGGTTTAATGACAATGTGGATGTTTGTAAGAGATCCAGAAGATGCAGATAATCCAAACTGGTGAATGATGTCAGTCAACACTTGAATAGCTTCTCTCAGCGGGTAGTTTAAAACAATTCCTGGCCCAATGATTGGAATGGCCACTGAACCAAAATTCAGCCGTACACAAAGCTCCAGACACTTCTGCAGACCGTTACCAAGAGCCTGCAAATCAAAAGTTACATATTTTTAACTATGTTTTCAAACTTAACTCTTGGATTGTACACTGCAACTGAGCACACAAGGAAAACCTTGAGGCTCCACAAAAAACTTAAATTTATTTGCATAAGTCCTGGCTTGGAGTTTGTGGTATATAACATCAAGTTATTCCAACCTTTCAACTATACACAGCAATGATATTTATTTAATTTCATAAAACTTTACTATTCCCAAAGGAAATTCATTGATGCATTTCATTGGTTTTCTGAAGGTAAATTAAATATGAATAAGCTCTTATCCATCTCTAGAAGTGTTAATAAAAGTCCTTAATTTTACCTGAACACTCTTTCCTCTTACTCCGTCCCAAGGCAAGCACTCAATGAAGAAAATCTTGGAGCAGCCCAGAGATGGAGGTGCATCAACCAGCTGAACATCACCAGGGGCGAGGGCACAACTGGCTAAGACTGAATCAAACTTTAACTTTAATACATTCCCAGCTTTGGCCAACA